GGGGGGAGGGGGAAGGGAGGGGGTGAGGGGACCTCTGTCCCCACCAGGGACACGGTCACCATGGGGACACCCATCACAAAGCCCCATGGGCACCATGCGACCCCCTCACAATGCCCAGGGAGGCTGCAGCGCTCCGGGGACGTCCCCTGCCCCGAGGAGGAGACTCCAGCGCTCCAAGGGACGCCCTGGAGCTCATTAACCCCCAGGATTCAGCACTCTGGGGCTCTGGACCCGCTTTATTGGTGCTGCCTCAGGTTAGAGCCTCGGCTCCACCACCTGCACCGGAGCCTGGAAATGGTGCCCTGACTCGTGTGGCAAAATCTTCTGCCTACCATGAACCTGAGGTTTCCCCCTTCACTTTTTTTCTCTTCAGAAACGTGCGCTGCTCTTTGAACCTTGGATCTTTGAAGCCTGTGGATTATCCCTTTAAAGAAGAGAATCATGAGACAATTCCTGAGCTCGGAGAGCATTGCCGTGATCTTTGAGCCAGTTCCAGCCCTCCGAGAAACCTTCGTAGCCTCCTGGGTTCAGGCTTGGGCAGGGCAGGAGGCATTTTGGGGTTTAGCCTCAACCCCCTTGATGGAGACGGTGCATTTTTACCGCAGCGCTTCCTCCTGCTCGGCTTTTGTTGGACATCGCACACGGCTACCGCAAACGTCACGGCTCATCTCCGTCAGGAATGGGGCTTTTCTCCATTTTCTCACTCCAAAGGAAAGTTTTGACCCAGGCTGCAACGTTCCCTTCATGGTGAAAATTCCCCTTGCTGCCATCCCCCTCCTCCCAGCCCTGCTCTGGCTGCGTCCAAGAGCCGACAGCTCCGTCTGTCCCTCGGGAACAGGCCCTTTCCCACCCTTGGGGACTCCCACGCTACAGGGGCTGTCCCCAGCCCGTGACACTTTGGGATGTGCTGGCCTTTCCAGGAGGGTTGATCCCTCCAGCGCCAACGGCGTCGGCTCCGAGGAAACCTGCAGCCCGGAGCGAAGGAGCCCCGGGCCTTGCGGGGCCGGAGGGCAGGAGCTGCCAACACAACCCAGCGGCTCCGGAGTTTGTGACAGCCCTGGAAAGGGCTGAAGCGCCAGGGAGCCTCCCGGGGATCCTAGGAGGAGCGGAGCAAGACAAAGAGCAAAACCACGAGCTGGGACCGCCTTCCAGATCCTAGTATTTGGGTTTTTTCTCAAATCAGTGCAGAAACACTGAAAAGAAGTCTTACAGAAACAACTTTTTTCCTTTCTTTTTTCTCCCTTCTCTTTGGAGCTTATGAGTTTCCAAAGCCCAGGGTCACGGACTGTTGCTCATCAGCTGTTTACAGGAATGGGATTGTTTCTTTCCTGGCTACTTTCATCCTTCCCAACCAGCAGTCAGGCTGCTGTCAGAAACACCACAACAGGCAACAACTTCCACTGCAGCAACAGAGGCAACTTAGCATTTTCACTCGGGCATGGAAGGCTTCAGAAGGAGAATATGCACAGGAACAAGGAGTCAAAACCGAGGTTTAACCAGGCTAGGTTAGGTGCTGCACTCAGAGGGGACAGACTTCACACAACGGGATGCAGACAATAACACACATGGGCTTGGGCTACTCCTAAATCCCACGACAAGGCCAATTAAAGAATCAGTTCAACAACATGGGAATTTTCTGCAGTTTCATGTCAATGAAGTTTCTGCAGGGAAGTGCAGCAGAAAGGCTCGCGCATCTATCAGTTCTCTTTCTAGCATCTTTCTCTTCCCTCTGGGAAAGCACCACACTTCTCCCTCAGGCCAGCAGAAACAGCCCATTTTGCAGAGACCTGCAGTGCTGGGGACTCAACAGCAACATGTGAATTAGAAGAAAACAGAGAGGATCCAAAAATGCAGGCACTGACACTCCGTGGGATGCAGCCATTTCACTTCTGCTCTCATCAGCTCAGGCTTTGGAATTCTTTATTTGGCTTGAAGTACACAGCACTGACCCTATGCCAAGGATCCCTCCCACCTCATTCCTGCCTGGTGGAGAACCTGGAATCCAGAACATGACTGGTGAAAGATTATGGTTGACTGAAGCTACTGAAGGACATGTGGAGCAGCAGAACTTCTGTCCAAACCCAGGGCAGGGGCCACAACGTGTCCCCGGGTGCTTGGCCTCCAGGCTGAGGTCTCCTCCACCACGAGATGCTGCCTGACCCTGGCCTGGAGCTAGGGCTGCGCTGCTTCCCGGGGCACCTGGATACGGAGCCTCATCCCGCGGGAATGTGTGCCACTGCACGGAGCACGGCACCCACCAGCCCCAGGTAGGACTTGTGCAGTTTTATTCATGTCTCTTTTCTGCAAGGTCCATTTCCTTGTTCACTCCAGAGCAGCTAGTTCCTCCAAGAGCTGCTCCTTCTCCTGCTGCAGCTCCTGCACCCGCTGCTTGTTCTGCTCCAGCCTGTCCTCCAGCCACTGCAGCAGCGGCCCGCTGATGGCAGACATCTGGCTGCAGAGGTTCTTGGTGAACACTGCCAAGAGCAAGAACACACCGTGACACTGCAAAAACCCAAACGACTCCGTGTGCTGCAAAAACCCAAGGCCAAGAGCACCACGGAGCACCTAGAAAGGCTCTCCAGGATCCTGGCCAGGGCAACTGGAGATCCTCAGGGAAAGGAGTCAGGATCGGCAGCACGTGAGAGGAAGAAACAAGTTATTTTGCCCTCACCTTTAAATATGTGGAAAGGGAGGACAAATCTACAAAAAGAAATCTGTACACAGGCCATTATCGATGCTAAATTATTTCTATATGCAGAAGCAAAGGTGGCCACAGCAGGTGAACAGGTAAGGAAGGATGACAAGACATTTATCTTACAGCAGAAAGAGGATTGGGATCCAGTCTAACTCACTGGAAAGAACACAGATGTCACGGGCATAAAACACATGAAGTGCAGGAATAATAATGAATGTCTGGCCAATCTACACTCATGGCCTAAGATTCACTAAAACAATCAGCCCTTGCTCATTGCTGTTTAAAGAATAAAAAATGTGGGGGAAAAGAAAAAAAAAAGTTCTATTGTTATTTTAAGCAATTCAATGAAGAATTTCTTAAGGAACCTAACGGATACAATAACACAAATTCCTCTAGAATTAGGTTATTTTACAACCCTTGGTATTTGCATCAAGCTGCTTAGTTACATTTTCATCCCTCCTCTACACTTTATCAAACAAGATAACACGGTCACAGAGAGTTCTTCAGATTACACAGTGTTGGGGATTGGAAACAAACTCTATGATTTTTTTTTTTTAAGAAAAAGAAGTATTTCTGTGGTTATTTACAGACAGCCTTTCTGACAAGCAGACACTGCAGCTCACAGGATTGCTGTAGAGCTGTGGCCTGTTGTCCCATATAGACAAGGCCAAAGTGACCATTATTTGAGGTCTGGCTCAGGGAGCCCCGTCCAGGACTCGCACGGGGGAGCAGGACCCCAGGGGACACCTTACCTGAGCCGTTATGGATCTTGGTTACGGAGTCCAGGTGGGTGAGGCTGAGGGAATGAACAAAATGCTCGTTGGTGACAAGACAGCAGTGAAGCATTCGTTAGGCAAAGCCAAACTACAGAAACAGCGAACTGAGAACCACTGACACTACAGGTACTGCTCAACCTCCTCCTTTGTAGGAAGCCCTGTCCATTCACAAGGGTAACAAACCAGCCACTTGCTGCACACACACAAAATAAACAGTCTCTCTAGTTCTAGAGGCATGAAAAGCCACCTGGTTGACATCTAATCGCAGTTTTCAAGACTGTTCTCACAGCTCTTCTCTGTTGCAGCAGAAGGGCAGTTACACTTCGCTCTTGTGCTACGTGAATAGAGTGCAAGTCACATGGCAGAGAGAGCTTGAACTCCCTGACACGAAGGTATCCAAACAGCTCTCCCCCCAGGGCACACAAGGTGCTATGAATGCTTCTCAATTTTTATACTCATGTTAAGACTGTTGTCAGTGTAGACCCTTTAGCAAAGACAGACTTGGTTACCTGTGAATCCTCCTGTAGGCATCTTGCTCCTCCTGGCACAGGATCTTGGGCAGCTCCACAGCTGATTCCAGGCACACTTTCCCAATGGTTTCATGGGGGACAACATGAATAGGAATTTCAATCCTTTCATATCTAAAAAGATATCAGATGCAATTAACTTCCAAGCAGCAGAGCAAAAAAGCCTTCAATAAGTGTGCAGCAGTCTGTCCAATGTATGGCATGACACAGATCTGACTTTGGGGACACGTGCCTATGTTGACAGGCAAAAAGAAGCCCTTTATAGTCTCAAAGTTTAATGATACAACCCACACAGTGCCTAGATCGTCAGCAGGGTCAGTGTGACACGGAGCCCGTGTCCAGCACAGGGATGTTGCCCCACTGGAATATACCAGTAGTGAAGATTCTGGAGTTAAAAGCAAGAGCCAAGCCCTTCTGCACAACAGATTATTGCAGATTCAGGTGTTGCCTAAAGAGAGAACTCAAATTCAGACCCAAACTACCACATTTTACACTAGGTCTTAAGTGTCTAAATTACCTAGGTTAAATCAGCTCTACTGCTCAGGTTCTCTTCAAGCAAGTTTCATTAGCAGAAGTAATGACATCTTGTTTAGACATCTCTATACAATATTTGTTCATTACTTTGAACCTGAATCCACTCAACTGAGACAAGCCACAAGCCTGATCATTAAAATGAGAGATGAAATCAAACCCGAAGCTGGACATTTCTACTTACTCTGAGCTCTTCTGGGCTTGAATGGACTGGAAACAGGTGTAGAGAATCCTGCCTGTCTGAGAGCATCAGCAGAACGTCAGATTCCAAGTATTGAGGACAAAAAGTACCATTTAAAACCTAGAATTCCTTCAGGAAACACAATATGCTTTCAAATAGTATTTTAACAAGTTGTAAAGACATGCAACTTCTGCTCTGATTGGTAACATTACTAAGAAGATACTGAGAGACTGTTAGCTACGGAAAACTAAGTCAGGCATCTGATCCAGTCCTGGAACCTGATACCCACATAGTTCTACTATCAAACCTGTCTGGGAGCTCAGGAGAGAATAATTCACTTTTCTATGAATCTGGATCATGCCCCAAGCACCTACATTTTAGCCACACTTCGATCTTGCAGCAAACAGCCCTCACTGCAGGGTGTATCCAAGGACACACACAGGATCTCAGTTTTGCTGAGGTGCTGACTTTCATACCTGAAAGACTTAACCTACTTTTTAAGTTGCCTACCTTTGTGTTTTTGTCCTCAATGAAACAGGAGAAAATAAGCCCTACGAAACCCTGGTCCATCATCTGATACATGGCTTGAGTGCGGACATCTGCAGACAGAGAAAAAAACAATCACTGATCAACTGAAAGACTGAGCAAAAGCCTTGCTACCTTTTAGAGAAGGGCTCTGAATTTGGTAACAAGCACAGGATTTATCTTTTAATGTACTGTCCTAAAGTTCTTTATTTTAAAGAAAAACAAAAGGCATCCAGCTTTAAAGGAACATGGAAACCTCTTGATCCAAGTTAAAAATGGAACTAAACAGCTAATCTCTAAAATAGGAGAAAATGGAAGGACGGAGGAAAAAAATCTGAGCCTCCTAACATCAGCCTGCAGCCACAGACCAGCCATATGGCCATGTGCATCCAGTGCATGTGATTTACTTGTGTGAGACTTTAAAAGAAATTTCTGCATCAACACAGCTATCAGACAGCAACAGAGCACAATTACCATTCCCAGGGCTCTTTTGGCATCCCCTGTGCTCCCCTTTACAGCTCTATTTGCCAGGAAGAACGTCAGGAATCACACGGCTCCTCTGTGTCCGTGCAGTCAGGTGCAGTGTGAGTGCCTGAAGCTCCTGCACTGGGCTAACAAACAGGAGCTTGGCTATTTCCCAAAGCCCATGGAGACAATCTCATCCTACTGAGGCTTTGGAAAAACCACCTCTCCTGCCTGTGCACAGCTCCAGGAATTCTGCTGCCCTTCAGGCCTGTTGGGCACTTGGGTGGTGGTTCCTGAGAGCTCAGGACAAGCAGAGCCAAGAGGGCCGAGCAGCCCTGTCCTAGTGGCAGGATCAGTGCCACGAGCCAGGGAACAGGGCAGCTCTGACAGCTGGGAAGTGCACGGTCAAATCCAGCAGCTTTGGAGCAAGGCAGGGAGCTGCGAGTTTGCACATGGAGCCTTGTCTGAGATTCTCTTACCCACGTGCGACGGCCAGACCGTGATATGGGGATGAGAGTGATACCAGCCCACGACTCGCATGGGACGCCCCGTCATTTCAGCCAACCTGTGTGTTGGTCAAGGTCCTTCCGAGACTAACAGAGCAGAGGGAAGAAGTTCTTTGTGCAGGCAGAACAGGACAGAGGTTAAAAAAAACCTTTCCCAAGACTCAGCGTGGATTAGTAGGATGGCACCCAGCAGGAAACTGGTGGGAGCCTCTGTCCCCGAGGCCGATGGCCCCTGTTTCTGTCAGGGAATTCTTCTGTCGTTGGGCAGAAGCAAAATGGATTTTGTCTGCCCATGGGAGGATGTAAGCACTTACTTACACGTAAGCAACCTGCTCAACACGGCATCCTTAAGCTTATATTGGAAACACAGACTTGCTGGCTTTTTACTTGCTAATAAATTTCTTTGCTATATTTACTAGTTGTTAACTGGAAATGCAAGAGAACTTGCACCTGCGAGCTGAACTGCTACTCTTCTAAAAGCATAATTTAGAGATTTATAATTAAATAAAAAGTCAATTACAATAAACAGTTATTTCACAACTCCACCACAAACACTGAAACCAACTTTGATTTCAGAGAATGGGAACTGCCCGTCCGGCCTTCCAATGGGAGCCGGCAGCCTTGGACAACCTGGAATAAGCCCAAATCCCACGGGCAGGGAAAGGATATCTCCGCTTCCGTGGAAGCGGCCGAGAGCTGCTCGGGAGAGATCTCCACGCGGTCCTTCCTCTTATCGGAGCGGCGCAGGATGATCACGGAGTGGATGTGGACGATCCTGCTGGTATCGACCTAACGAGAAAGAGAGGAGGAAAAAGAAGGTGAAGGAGAAAACCGTTAGAGCGAGGGGACGGGTTGCGGACGGGCCCGGGGGCGGCGGCGGGCGGCACCTCGCCAATGCAGAGCCCCATGACCTCCTCCTTCTCGGTGCTCAGCGCGTGGTTGAGGCACACGAGGAAGGCGTCGGCCTCCAGGTGCGCCGCCTGCACCGCCATCTTGGCGCCGCCC